AGGGCTTAGGGTTCAGGGTTGTTGATTTTGGCTTTAGGGTTTAGGGCTTCGGGTTTAGGAGATTAGGCAACACATCTCAGTGACCGTACAACTCTATTCTGGTAACTTAAGTTCAGTCACCGAAAACTGTAAAAGAAACTCTCCCACACCGGATGCCCACGAGAAATCGTCTGGTTCGAGGGTCCGTGCAGCTCAGGGCTGCTACATCAAAGATCAATCTTTAGGGTTTAGTGTTTTGGGTGTGGCTGCCAGCGTCAAGCGGCTTCTGTTTTGAATCCTAATATTTTGGGCTTATAAAGCTAGGGTTTCTTAATCAGGTTCCTAGACTAGTCTCGTCTACCGTGCCCTGTGGCTTCCAATTTCAAACGCCCTGGCCGGGGCCGCTTTATCAATCCGCCTCTGCTCATTGTCAACCCGAGTTCTCTCAGAAAAGAAAACCGGGATTGGGAGCCGCAAAAGCCGTAAGGTTCAGTGCTTCTGCTTAGGAATTTTGCGGGTTTTTACGTTCCATGTTTGGGATTTGAATTTTTAGGTTTGGGCTTTGGGATGAGGAGCTTGAAGCTCAAGACCTAGGTTGTTCGCGTTCAGGGCTCTGGGTTCCAACAAGTCCATGTGCGGAGCGCGCCTCTAATGCCGCAGCCTTGGCGGCTTCCTGTCATGCACCGGTCTAGGTTTCGGACCTTTGGGTTTAGGGTTTAGGGCCGTTTAGGGTTTAGGGGTTCAGGGTTTACGAGGGGCTTAAGCCCTTTCGGCTTTAGAGCGTAGGGTTTACGGTCTTAGGGGCCTTAGGTTTCGGACTTGGGGTGAGGGACTTCTGGGTTTGGGGTTCGGGGCCCGGGGCTCCTCATGGCCCTAAACCTTCAACTCTAAAGCTGCAACTCCGAATAGGCTTTGGGGCTCTAGAATTTCGGGTTTCGGGTTTAGGGGTTTAGGGCTTATAAGTTTAGGGTTACCGGATGCCCTGAAGCTTAAGCTCCGGGTAGCGCCCTCCTAATCGGAGAAGATCACATCTGAAGCCCCAAGAGCACAAGGCCGCACCACTCAACTGCTCCCATAGACTCTACTACCAGTCACTCAAGGGCTGGCCCAGAAGAAGGTTTAGTCAAGTGTTGAAGTTGTTGGGGCTGAGGGTATCCCAAGCAAGGAAAGAGTTTCTCCGTCTGGCACCCTTGGAGAGAGAGCTTGCAATTTCTGGACCCGTCCCTTGACCCTACAACCTGAAACTCTAAACCCCAAACCCTAAACCTTTTGCGCCCCACCCCAACCTTCAACCCTCGGCCCCTCCTGTCACCCTCAAGAGTTAAAAGACAAACCTTCATACCGCTCAAAACCGAAAAATCTTGACGGCCCGAAGAGAGAGCCACCTGAACCCCCCAAACCCCTACCAACCCCCAAGTATGGGCGGTTCTCTAAATTAGGGTCCCTTTTTTAGGCCCCCCAGGAAACGGTATGGCACCCTTTTAAATGGGATCCGAAAAGGGGCCTAACTAAGATAACCACCCATGGCCTACAACCACCTAAGACAAACCCCAACAAAAACCAGAAGACCCCAAAACTCAGAACCCAAAATCGAATTCGGGTCTATGGTTGAGGGTTTAGGGTTTAGTTCGGGGCTAAACCCTAAACTAACCCTAAACCCTAAACCCCAAACCCTAAACCCCCCGAGCGATTTAGGGTTCAGGGTTTGGGGTCGGAAGACCCAAACAAAGCTCCCACACGCAGCAGGGCCTTGGCTTGCCGGCTCCTGGCTTGCAGAACCAGCATGGGCCTTGCAAAAGGAGGGGCTTAGTGTTTGGGGTTTGGGGTTTAGGGTTTAAGGTTTGGGGTTTAGGGTTTAGGGTTTAGGGTTTGGGGTTTAGGGTTTGGGGTTTAGGGTTTAGGGTTTTGGGGTTTAGGATTAACTGCTGAGGGCTTAGGTTTAGGGTTGAGGGTTGACAAGGGTTTAGGGTGTGAGTTTAGGGCGGAGGGATCCGACCTTCATCCCACCTTTTGAGGCCTCCAATAGACCCTGGGTTTAGGGTTTAGGGTTCTTGGTTTCATGGGTAGTTCTACGTGTGTGTTGTAGGTAGGGTAGGCACCCTGGAACCTTCAAGGAGGATTTCTCATGGAGTCGTTGAAGAGGGCGCTTGAAAGGCTTTCCAGGGGGGCATAGGGCGTTCAGCTTGAGCAGGGTTTTACAAGGGCTTTATGGCTTCTTTATCGGCTGGCGAGGGGCTTTATACGGTCTTTGTGAGATTCTAGAAGTTCCACAAAGGGCTTGGAGCTTCGAGTTTGGAAGTTAGGGTTATGGGGGGGGGGGGGGGGG